CTCCCTTCCCCTACCCTCCCCTACCCTCCCCTCTCCCTCCTCCTCCCCTCCTCCCTCCTCCTCCCTCCCTCCTCCCCTACCCCCTCCTTCCCTCCCCTCCTCCTTTCCCCTCCCCCTCCCTCCCCTCCCCCTCTCCCCCACCTTTGGAACCTCTTTGCCTCCCCCAGTGCAGTCACAAGCACTTCACCCAGAATGCATGAAGACCAGATGACCCCAGGCTTTCCCAGCAGCCCGTGACCTAGTGACGTTTGGCCGTGGCCAAGGTGCTTTTTCAACATGATAGAGGACGGTAGATGATATATGATGAAATGGTCGTGTCTCAAAAGGACGGAGAGGAGAAACTACAATGGAATGATTTTCAGATTGGACCCCATCTCTGGGGTATTTGGTCAGAGGCCAAAAATACATTTAAAAAAATGTTTATGGCACCATTTTTGTTTTCTGTACGCATTTCTTTGGAAGACAGAATGTTAGGAAAATCTTACAGAATAATGGATCTATCCAAAAGAAGCCTGTCTGGTGGGGGTGGGGGGTGGGGGCAGTGGGGACTAAAAAGGAAATATTTTAACCTTTGTGTTCAATTATGTACCATTACATCCATTATCTTGAAAGGCTAATCAGTCCTCATTATAAATTAAAAACTGTTAAAAATAAAACAGGTAGGTAAATAGAGAGAGAATACAAAGTTGCGCACATTGCACACTGTTTAATGATGAAGCCGAATGCAGAGGGGCTGGTGGAGTTACGACTGGTGAGTGTAAATTAAAACCACGACACGTACTGCCCCGTGTAACACCCAGTACATACGTATGGGACGTCCCTTCCAAAAGGTGATTGTTATTAGAAAGAAAGCAACAAAAGGGTCGAGGGTGGGAAGGGACAGACTGGGAGTTTAAAATGTAGAATAGATCAACAAGATCATTACTGTATAGCACAGGGAAATATATACAACGTCTTGTGGCAGCTCACAGGGAAAGGAAAGTGACAATGAATATATGTATGTTCATGTATAACTGAAACATTGTGCTCTACACTGGAATTTGACACAACATTGTAAAATGACTATAACTCAATAAAAAATGTTAAAAAAAAAAACAAGAAAGAAACAACAAACATGAGAGGAAAATAATAGGGTAAAAGTGTAAAGAGAGACAACAAAATGCAATCTATTTGTCTGTATTCCATTTCCCAGCCCTGTCTCAGAATCCCCCGAGCAAGCGCCTCTGAGCTCAAGGCTGGTAGACGAGGACACCAGCCTGGGAAAGGGCACAGGTGAGTGGGGGGCACTCCCTTCGGACAGAGGCCCAGGTAAGAGAGCAGAAGAGAAAGAGAGGGAATGACCCCCCCACGTGGCTTCCTGTTGCTCTGTCGCTCCGTGCGGCCTCGCCCACGTGGAGGGCGCCGGCTGCCGGCCACTCTGGTTCCTCGGGGACCGGGCATGCAGGCCGTCCCCTTGCCTCGCTTCCACTGCGCGACGCCGTCCTGTCCAAGGCGGCTGTCGCTCGGGTTCTGCAGGAGAGGCCAGAGCTGCGATTGCAGGCTCCCTTGCGAAGCACGCGCTCCGCCCTCCTGGCCGGGGCCCTGCAGCTTGCGTCGGCCCAGTCGGAAGCCCGTGCGGACGGGCAGACACGCCGTTTAGAGAAATACAGATGCTTCCTGGGCTCCGCGATGGGCTGCTATTCTCAGATGGCCGCGGGTGCAGGACAGGTCAGCACCCTTAAGCTGTTACCGGAGGGGCTTGTAGCCATCGCTCCGTGAGCCCAGTCCAGTTGACAAGCACGCACGGAGAGACTTCCAGTGGTGGGAGGTTTGCAGGGAGTGGGGGACGCGAGAAAGCAGAACCGACAGACCCTGCTGTGCAGGAACCTCCGCTGAGGACACGGGGACGAGGTGAACGTGCGCTAAAAGGGCTCAAGCACCGTGCAGCTGAAACCCCGAACCCTGCGCTGGGGATTCCACGGAAGAGCCCTGAGCTGTGACTTTTCACAGCGCTTACGAAGACTGACGGGTGGCACAGCTCCTGTGCTGCGAGGAGGGACAGCTTTCATTGCACGGTGCGGATCCTCTTGTGGGATGGGGGAGCCTTGGCATTCCATAAGCTGACTGAGAAAATAAAGGGGAGGTGATGCAGGGATGAAAAGTGCAGATGACGGAGCAAGGGGCATCTTTGGAGAAATGACAGTGAGTCAGTTAGACAGACGCCAGTGCCGGGTGAGTCCCAAGGCTCGAGAACCAGGAACTGGACGGTTGTAAGTTGACGGTGTGACTCCCAGCGCGGTGGCGGTGAGGAGGGGTGTCACAGCTCACACACTCGGGCAGAGAGCAGGTTCAGCTCCCTCTTTGCTTCTGCTCTGGCTCTCAGTCGGTTGGATGGCGCCCACCCAACCAGCTACCTGGGCACCTGTGGCCCCGTCAGGCTGACACTTCACATTACACGTCCCCGTGGGCAGTCCCTGCCTGGGGGTTTGGTCCATCCTCTCTGACCTGAGCGATGCACCTTGCTGAAGATTAATTGACTGTAGGTGTGTGGGTCTGTTTCTGGGTTCTCTGTTCTGTTCCATGGATCCATCGGTCTGTGTTTTTCTTTGTCTGGGTTTTTGGTCCCCCCCAATACCATGCTGTTTTGATTACTGTAGCTCTGTAGTATCGTCGGACGTCTGCGGGGGTTATGTCTCCAGCTTTGTTCTTTGTCCTCAGGATTTCTCTGGCTATTCTGGCTCCATGTGAATTTTAGGATGGTTTGTTCTAGTTCTGTGATAAACATCCTGGGTAATGGCAGAGGGGTTGCATTAAATCTGTAGGTCGCTTTCAGTTGCATGGCCATTTCAACAGTGTTCGTTTTTCCCATCCTGGAGCATGGGGTATCTTCCCATTTCTTTGAATCACCTTCAGTCTCCTTCGTGAGTCTTCTATGATTCTCAGTGTATAAGCCTGTCACCACCTTGGTCAGGTTTATTTCTCCACTGGGGAGGGTTATGTGCGATTCTCAGTCCACGTAATGAAATGCTTCTCCCTTCTGGAAACAACCCCGCAGACACACCTAGAATTACTGTTTAACCAGCTCCCTGGGCACCTGTGGCCCCGTCAGGTTGACACAGCATGTTAACCATCCCAGCGTCCAGTTGCTGCCTGGGGGGTTTGGGCTGTGCCCCTCGTCTGAGCTGAGCGGGGCTCCACTTCCCGACACCCCTTCCTGTGTGCGTTTTCAGACCCCGTTCACTTTCTGCTCCTCCATCTTCAAGGCGTTCGTGTCCATCATCGCACTGTGTTCTTACAGCCCTTGTCGGAGTGTAAGTCAGGTCATGATGTTATTGCCACGATCGTGTCTTTATAGACGGGAAAACTCACATAGGAACACAGATGGTAGAGGACAGACAGAATGTGGTCTTCCCACGTGGGCTCCTTATCCTTCCTATCACACCGTCTTCATTATAACACAGGGCTCCTGTGAGCCCTGACAGTATATGTCTACACTGTGAGCCCAGGGCTGGGGCATAGCAGACCCCGAATAAACAGCCACTAGTGTAACAATGACAGAGCCAATTAAAATGCTGCTAACATTCAGTGAAACAGCAGTCGTATAAAAAGAGTAAGGAGAGAGTTTCGTGAATCGTGAGCCTTCGTGTAGGTTATGTGCATACAGGTTTCATTTTCAAACTGGCCACATGCATTATCGACAAGCTGTTGATGCCAATTGCCAAGCCTGTGTGCCTTTCCTGGAGACGGATTTCTCGATTAAATCCTTTCATGACGGTGTGTGTCTGCTCTTTCTGGGGTTCGATTGTAGAGCCGGAGGAGATGTGTTAGCAACAGGCACATGTGAATATGTGAAAATCAGAGACCCTGAAATCGAGGGAAAATTCTGGGCAAGCGCTTGGAGTAACGCAAAGGTATGCTTTTCAGGGCACAGGAGGTTAAAAAGAGCCCCCATCATCCTGTTACCCGTCATCCTTTTCAGTAAGTTACTAGGCTGAGAACCTTAATAAGAATTGTGTAAATAGTTCTCGGAAAGTGGCAAATTGTTTCCTCCAGAAAACCACCTCCTGTGTAGCTAAACCACTGTCCTAGTAATTATTTAAGAGAGAAATTATCTCTGGAGAACAAGGAGAGTGAAGTTCTTTACAAAATGTGTTTTATAGCCTCTGGAGAGGAAAACACATTCACATGTTTGGGGATTTCTTCTGTAATCATTCAGTGACACCAGTCCTGCTTTACAATTGCTCCAAATAATATTTGTCCTGAGGGTAGCATTCATCCCCCTCCTTGGGGGTTCTGTACACAATCCTTTGCAGTTAAGTATATATATATTCATATATATTATTGAATATATATTCATAAATACATATATTCATATATATAGTTAAATACATATTCATATATATTATTGAATATATATTCATAAATACATATATTCATATATATTATTGAATATATATTCATAAATCTATTATTGAATATATATTCATATATACTTAATATACATTTATATTTATAAATGTATATTCATATATACTTAATATACATTTATACTTATAAATTTAATATATTTATGAACACATATTCAGTGAATATATATGAATATATACTTATGAATATATATTCAATTCTAAGCAATATATATATTAATTCCAAATATATATATATTTCATATATACTTAATATAGTTATATTTATAAATTTAATATATTTATGAATATATATTCAATGAATATATACTTATGAATATATATTCAATTCTAAACAATATATATAATAATTCCAAATATATATATATATATATATATATATATATATATGAAACCAAAATGTAAGGCAGGGTTCTGCAAACCTCTCAAGTATTTTAAAATCAATGTTTTAAAATCTTAACTACCTTAAAAGTAAAGATTTTAGACTGTATGTTTTTATGAACCATGATGCAATGTTGAGGGGATTAATGTAGGTCTGTGTAGAGTCACTTAAAATATAACCATTTGGAAATGTTTAAACCATTCTTAACTCGACAGCCCTTAAAAAAACACAGACACAGGCAGTTGGCCAGATTTGGGATACTGGTGGCAGTTTGCCGACCCCTGTATTTGAAGCATCGGAAATGGTCTAAATTATCTCACCGGTACTGGTTTTGATTGGAGCGGCAGCATTGGCCAGCACGTCCTCTGATACGTCCACGTGAAAGCTGTGGAAGCCACTTCACACGGCTTACTGGCTGTGGCTCAGCCGAACGCCTGCTTCCCGGCTACCTCTCCACGTGCTTCTGTTGCACTGGGAGCTCTGGGGTGGGAACCTGTTTGACTTAACTCAATGAGGACAGTCACCTTTTGTCTGAGATGGTCCCATGAAAGGGACATGAGCTGTGGGATTAGCTGGCAGGTGCATGAGGGCCAGCCAGCCCTGTGCGCTGTCTTCTTGACCTTGCCCTCCACAAGGCAGGATTTAGAGGAAAATAGTAAGAAATACTCAGTACCACTGAACCCCGGTAGGACTTTCAAAGATAAAGGACACATGGCCGGGTTCCCAGGAAGAACTTTGGCCTTTTCACCGCTTTGCATGTGTGGTCCTCTACGGAGTGGCTGGGTTAAAGGATTGCTGAACCAATGTCATTTACATCATAGGCACTTTGGTGCATTTTCTTTTTTGGAATCCCCAAGGAAAGCAAGCCCAAACTCACCCTTAGGTGTGAGACAGCCGACATCCTCAAATTAAGTATTGAGTATCAAAGGGAAAACCAAAAGTACGCTGGGGAACAGCTGTCATCCTCAGCCTTCTCACCGGCGTTACAGAGAAAAATAACAGACATCATCTCAACCAACGGCCCAAAGACACGAAATCGGTAAATATCACGGCGGACAGTTCGTGACTGGTTTCTTGAGGACGAAGGAGGAGCAAGTTGTAACCCCAAGGTCGGGAGGCCCAGCTGTCTAGCCTCTTTGCCGACCCACGATCATCCTGTAGTTTTTAACCTGTCTTCCCCACTACTCCTCACACAGGAGTCTGACATCGCACGGCAAGGATGCTCAGATTCCAGCCAGCTATAAACATTCCTGCAGTGCCTGTCTTTCTCCCTCCCTTACTTTTAGAAAGTGGCTCACAGATTTCTCAACCGGTCTGTGATTCTTGAAACACCACCACTGTAACTATTGCACAGAAAATATCTTGCAAAACAAATGATAATGATGTCACGCGATACCGACGCTAACTGTCGCTGCAATGGCAACCACATTACAATATTCAACTGTATCCAAAGAACATGGGATGCGCCTTAAGTGTACACGATGTTACATGTGGGATATATTCCAGTAAGAAAGACACGCACAGAAAATATCTCGACAGTGACATATTTTGTGTGCGTCTGGCCCGTCTGTATAAACACGAGCAGCATACACCACAGGGATGCGGGAATGACCGATGGAAATCGCTCCTTTAGGCGATACCATTTCTTTGGCTCACCTCCACAATCTTTGTACAGTCAAGACGCGTTGATCAGGTTTACATCAGAGGGAGTTAAAAAGCTTTTTAATTGTGGTAAAATACGCATAGCATAAAATGTCCCAGTGTGACTTCTTTAAAGTGTACGGTTCAGTGGCATTAAGTCTGTTCACACCGTTGTGCAGCCATCACCACCATCCATCTGCAGAACGCTCACCTCGCTACACTGAAACTCCATGCGCACTACACACTGACTCCCCACTTCCCCTCCCCCAGTCTGCCGGTGCCCACCACCCTACTTTCTGCCTCTATGAGATTTGACGACTCCAGGCGCCTCCTATAAGTGGAATTACACACATGTGTCCCTTTTGTAACTGTCTTATTACACTCTACCATAATGTCCTCAAGGCTAGCAAAATTAATTTTTTTTAAAGCCTGTTTCACAAGACATAGAATTGTAGAATACAATAACCCCAATTTAGAAGCCTTTAGAACAAGCTTGGGGAGAATTTATTTTCCTACAACCTACTGATTGGTTCCTAGTTGTGCAAAGACGAACAACATAATTAAAATGCATGTATTTCTCCTTCAAATGGTGTCTACTTCCTATTAAAAAAAAAGATGGGGGCAGGTTTCATAGTTTAGTCTGGGGATTTAATTAGGAATTTAGTACTGAAAGGGAATGACTTCCAATTAAAAAAACTAGGGCACAGGGTAATAACGAATAAAAGTGATTTAAAAGTACTTTGGAAACATACCCTGCTATATCCGTGTCATGTAATAATGGTGATGTTGGTGTTTACTGGGCAATGGTTTCCGATAATAGGCAAACATGCTCAATCCAGAACAAGAACATAACACACTTTTAATACTGGTTATCTTCTTAAATGGTCCTCCTGTTTCTGTCCTGATGTAATAGGAAAAGCCTTATTAGGCTCGCTATTTAAGAAGGATACGAAACAGCTTGAGTTTAGCAGCATCAAAAAGGAATATTCTTTCTTGAATGTAAGACACAAAAGGAACCTATTATTTTAAGCCAATACAAATTAATTTGAATATACACATGATTAATATTTCTAAAAACAATATACACCATCAACAAAGAG